GGCAATTAGCTCTTTTTTTTTTTTTAAAGTGGCGTTTATCGGTTTTTGCAAATGAACTCTTCATATATAGATCCAATCAAACTATTTGCACTAAAAACCAGTGTGTTTATAATTAAGACAATACATTAAAATAATATGATAAGAAATGCCAGTTTGCAATATCAAGCAGCATAGCGAGCTGTTTTGTACAGATAAAAGTAAATGGATGCGGATGAAACCGGAAGCCTCAACACATTCGGGTTACAAATAGCTACACTCAGGTTAAAAATAAGTTGGATGTTGGGGCCTTAAATATGGTTTCACTCAGATATTTGTCAAACTGTGCTAGATTTGTTGTCTTTAAGGCCTGTCTTTGGGTGTGAATATTTGTGTGAGAACACACTCACCCTGAGCTCTTTGAGGCAGAAGGTGACGCTGGTCTGAGTGCCGACGGCAAAATGATCAAACTCCTCCGAGCTCAAACACAGTTCAGTCATCATTGCTCTGAGAGAGTCTGAGAGAGGAAAAAACTTTGACTTGATTCGTTTCATGCATATCATAAGAATATAGACTGACATGACTGATACCTGCATCATCCTCCACGTGGTTCCTGAGCCACACGCGGTCACTGCTCACTGACAGATTCACCTCATCCAGAGACGGAGGGAAATGCAGAACTGTGTCCACCATCAACCTACAGTGGACATCGAAGTACATCAGAAAACGATTAAACAGACTCTGAATGGGAATGCGAATGGCTTGATAATATTGAGGTATTAAAATGAATGTAAACCTGGGTTGAGCCTGTAGCACGTTTGCACAGCTCTCTTTATCAAACACGGCCTGCAGACTCTCACAGTCCTGAAAGGACAAATTGTGTGTTTTCAAGAGCCCTGTAACAAACACACACAGTTTAGGTGATCATACTGTAACATATGCCATTTGTATGCAAGATTTTGAGTTTATTTAGAAGAAAAAATGTATTACTGACTGATTACCATGCCATAATAAAGGTTAATCAAGTCAATTTTAATTTGTATAACACTTTTCATAATACTCACTTCAAAGCAGCTTTACAAAAAAATCACAATGTTTGTTAATATTTATACTATCTTAATATGTTCATTCCTCATAATCGCATTTAGCAGATTAGAACTGGCCCATAATATAGTTACACTCTGTGACGATTTAAACAATAAAGTTTATGTGAGTATGCTGTATGTATGCAAGCAGGCAAAGTTGACCACTTGCATATCCAACTTTATATATAGAGCTGTGCGATGATAATATATTTTACATTTAATCATACTAACAAAAAAAGTGTTTTCAGCAGACTGTTTTTACCATGTTTACAGTGCAGAGTTATGGTCAGCCGACTCTTTTCACTGTTCAACTGAATACGGCATTTTTCTACAGAGCGATCCAGAGACGCCAGGGACTTGAACACAGCCTGAACACTCTGAAGAACACAAGACAAAGACAGACTAGCAGGAAAACATTCCCATCAAGAGGACTTTGCTGTACATTGTGAATTTCCTTTTTACATTTTAGCCTGCCTGAAAAAGACGCCAGGGACTTGAACACAGCCTGAACACTCTGAAGAACACAAGACAAAAGACAGACTAGCAGGAAAACATTCCCATCAAGAGGACTTTGCTGTACATTGTGAATTTCCTTTTTACATTTTAGCCTACCTGAAAAGACTGTGCATGCAAGAGGAAATTACTAATATATATAGACACATTCTAGTGATGAATGGACAGGTATTTAGCTCATAAAGACATGAAGAGGAACTGCAGGGATAGAATGAACAGGAACAGGAACAGGAACAGGAAATGTCACCTTGATGGGCATCTTGCAGCGGAAGCTCTGGTCTGAAGCAGCCTGATATCTCTGGAAGAAGAGAGGAGACAGCAGGAAGCAGGCGAAGGCTGACCGGGATGAGTTGACCGACCGTAAGGCCAACTAAACGCACAGGACACACACAAGTCACATGACCTCACAGCATAGAAAATCATATTACACATTATTTCAACACCTCACATCAGGCTAAACAATCATAAACACCGGAAACAAACACATACCCCATCCTCCACAGGCTCCAAATACAGCTCCTCTCCGATTCTTGACAGGGAATGTATGGCTTTTGCTAAAACTACAACAAGTGTGGATCAGTATTCTTCTATTCATAAAGTAATTTTATATAATAAGTGCATGCGAAGCCTGTTTACACGTCTATGTTACGCTAACGTTACACCATTGAAGTTTATTTATAATGCAGCTTTGAAAAACGCGTTTAGAGCGCGTCGCGTCTGAACGAAGTTACTCTCACGAGTTATTTATTACCTTTCACGTTTCCTCC